GTATCAGCATATCCCGAAAAAGCAGCCATTTTAATCTACGTTCGAATACCAGGTCATCACTGACGTCCCGGGCAAGCAAGACCTGGGCCAATTCCGCCGCCATTGCTAGCATATCAAAACCTGGATTTACACCATCTAAATCTACCAAGCCGCCCACACGCCCAACATTTGAATTGCCAGGAGAAGCCATATCCAGGCGCCAGAAAGCGCAGCGGGAAGAGTGATTGAAGCAGGAAGAACAAGAACTACAGCGACGGCGAGAGTTTAAGGCGAGGACGCCCCGAAAATACTATAGGCCATCCTTTCCAGTGAAGGTAACGATTGCAAGCGGGAGTCGCACGACACTTAAAGCAGAGGAAGCGTTAAACATAATAAACGCCCCTCCTGATAACTATAAAAGGCATAAGTCATCGAACTCGACAAGGGATAACAGGCGTGAGTCTACCTTAACCAGCTCCTTAGGTACTGCTATGACAAGGAGTGCCGCATCCAGTCATACGCAGCCAGACACAAATGCTACAGGGAAATCAGAGACGACGTCCGCAAGTACTCCAGCACGACCTGCGAATCGGGACATTGCAAATGGGGTTTCAGGCCCGCCCAACAAATCCCCCGCCAAGGATCGCGATAAGCAGCAAAGTGAGATGTCATCAGTTTCGTCTTCCAGATCCCCAATCACCCCTGCAACATCCTGCCCGAAGGCGGCTGATGCCACACCACTCGTGCAAAGATCGCGCGGGAAGGAGATTTTTGCGCGTGACCGGATTCATGAAATTGAACGGGACCGCGAAAGGCGGGAGAAGGAGGAGGCGGCGAGAAGAGCACGGACTGAAGCGGCGGAACGCGGCAGGATAGCTAGCCGCGAATGGGCGGAGAGGCAAAAACTGAAATTGAAATTGGCCAGGAAGAGTCAGAGCGATTTGCCACGAGGCGAGATGGGCGGATAGAATGATGGGACGGTGAAATTGAGACTTGCGAGGTTTCTTAACGAGTTGGCGCTGTATATCCGCTGTCCACGGTGCCAGCCGGGAGTTAAGGTTGATTGCTTGTATATTTTTGAATCACAATTTGCTGTTTTTGCCGCGAGGAGTTTAGGAGAGGAGGGGGATGTATGTGTGTGTGTGTGTGTGTGTGTGTGTGCGACGACTGCCACACCTGTCGTTCTCCGGCAATGGAGTTACCGAGCTAGGAATTCTGCGTGGGATGCTTTTAAAATCCAATTCCATGTCTGCGTTGTATTATTAACAAATTATGTCGAGCCAGGAGTAAATAAATAGACGTTATCCGCAACTGACCGATCCTTCAACTTCTCATAAAAGAATAAAGGGGAGGGGGGGCGGGGATAGGAGACAATTAATCGACCAGGCAGAAAGAAAGGAAAAAACCCCCTTCCCACCACCACAAAACTCGAAAGGTGAACAGACATAATTTCAAAAACAAACCCCCCCCCCACCCCCCCCCGTAAGAGCCGGTAATGTCGTCAATGACGGGAAATCTCATCCTTGTATTTTATTTCCACGCCACGAACGAGTCCTACGAACTATATTAAGCTGTGATCTTTTGATCATACTTTTTTTTTTTTTTTTTTTTTTTTTTTTTTTTTTTTTTTCACACCCTTCCTTTGTTTGGCCTCCATCAAACCCAAACAGCCGTCAGCTGGCCCAGTCAAGAGTCAAGGGGGGGGGGGGGGCGCGTTCTTTAAAAAAAAACCCCCG